ACGATGACAAAAATGAATTTGTAAGTCAGCATATGTTCTTTGAACTTTGACTGACGGTCATATTAACGTGGAGCTATCATTTCAATCTATTGCATAGTCTGCAATAAACAACTCGCAAAATGTGTTGGATGATCGGGTGTTTTATTATCAGGGTTGACTAATAGTCCCGGTAATACCAGGGTTCTACTGAAGACTCACTCAGATGATGTGCGGCTGTTATCTTCTTTAATGGTCGAATGGATACCAAGGAGTGAAATATCGGAACATGTTTTACAGTGAAGTTAGATTTTTTGGCAGGCTTTTGAATCTTCTTCTACCGATAACTTGATCATGGGTCCGAGATTATCTTGTTTTCGTGTATCACGGTGTTGATGTACCTTCGTGATAATGCGCCTGCTACGATGTTAGTGTCTTTTGATAAACTGGACGTTGATTGTAAACTGCGAGATGTTATGCAATTGTGGCGCTCCACGTGGTAACTCTAGATGAGATAATGTGGTAAATTAATAAAAGATGGGCTTGTGATCAGTCATTATCATAAAATAACTTTTCTGTAATGGGAAAGTGAAATGTGTTACCTCTAGGTAGATGGCTAGTAATTCAAGCCCGAAGGTGCTATAGCGTTTTTGGGCTGGTGACATACCTACAGAGAAGAACACTGGGTACGTAACGGCGTCACCGACTCGTCGTTGTGGCACTGTCCCTACGGCGCTATATAAAGAATTGGTGCACAAAAGATGGTGACTTTAAGGTTCAAGGTTTAGACGTTTCAAGATAGAAGCATTTACCGCCATGGACTTGGCGTCTTTAAAACCTGTCTTTGCATCGTGTGGTAAGCTAAAATCTTTGGTATCCCCTGTCCTTGTTTTTATTTGATTAAGCCTCAGATCATCAGACAGTTGCACAACTAGGCAAGGAACGGTAAAAACTACACATCCTGAGAAATTGTGGTGGGGGTTTCGTTGGTTTGGATTCTGAATGGTTAATAACAGCGTCCATCGCTTAAGCGATAGAAGAAAGCAGGCTGGTGGACGGGTAGTTATTTAATTGGGTCGTTCAACAGAATAGTTGGAGCGCCATGTTCTCTTTTTTAAACACACAAAGTTTGCAGTATTTAATTTACACTAGGAAGTATAATACCTATAAAAAATGAGGAAGTAAATGCATACTTGAATTATATTGTCTTGATATTACTTAGATGTTTTCGGCCAACCCTCAACCAGTCAACCGAAATTGGTATACCAGCATCTTCCCATAATCAATTTCCATAGAAATATCGATTCGATCAGCTTACTAAGTAAGAAAATATCAGTTCGGTTTCTGCGGCACATTGAAGAATTACCAATTCGTTCAATGTTTGAACTTCAGTTGACGACGATCAACGCTCATTCAATATCCGGAAGTGTTCCACAGATGTCATATACGTCACTGCCTTGCTGTCTTGTATCATTTATCTTATTTCCACAAACCATCGCTCATGACTTGTTGAAAGTGTCCTCTGTATGAGGTCAGAGCTTGTAAGAGTATGGAAAGTAGGAGAACGAAATAAGAATATCTGAGTTGACGCAAGCGGGCCACTCAACACCATGCTGATGAGGTACGATCTTCCCATACTCTATCTGGCTTATTAATGTTTATTCATTTGCCTGTTGAGTCGCCCTGAAGTCAAAAATAGAGAATTAACTTCGGAGAACAAAGTAAATGAGACATTCAAACGTTAAGAATTAGTACACTATTTGCATAAAGTTATCACATACAAAAGCAAATGTACAAATATAAGTGTTCGGTTCGACACAAGTGTTTGGTTTCTAAAACGTTTTGGGAATCCAGGAGGAAATAGAAACAGTGTGAACATCCTGTGCACGAAAGTGAAGTGTAAAAGAATGTTACTTTTTCAAAAATAATACCTGTGTGAACCTGCTATAAATTGGATTCACCAATTTCAATCAAATATATGACTTCGAGTCCGTGACGACCACCTCTTTATATTCTGGTTCGTATCCGCGGATACAGAAAGTGTCATAAGTATCGCTGATAATAATGGACTCTTTAATCAAGGACTCATAAATCCTCTATAAGGTTTAAATATTCTGAATGAATCCGTTCATTATTCAAAATTTTATCAAATCACATAAATATTTGGATATCCCGCAGTACAATGATTTGAATTAACGTGCTGCTCAAATACATGGGCTACCTGTTCCTGCCATCTAGATATTCTAACAAGGTATCTGTTTTTGTTTCAACGCGTCAGGTGTCTATTAGTTGCGTAACCTATTCAGGTGTGCCTATGGAGAGTTCAAGACCTTTGGCTGTACAAGTTACAAAGAAGTACAACCGGAGACATCGTGGTTGCTGAAAACATGGAGTGAAAAGGGTGAAAATTATTCACATGTCCATTCCTGAACCGTTAGCATCTAACTGGCTATCACTCGATATTTACCGTCAAGATCGATCGAGAAATAAGAAAAGGAAACTTCCTGAAACACTTTTATCAGAAAATTCTATATTGTACCGAACATATAATGTTAAATAAAATTAATAATAGTAAAGTTTTCAACAACAATTACATGACAGGGAATACAATCTTTAGGAAAAATAAGGAAGCGGATAAATACTTGGGTTACATTGTCTTGACATCACTGTAATATTTGCGAACAACTCTCAACCATCATCCTAAGTTACTACAATACTGTGCGAATCTATGTGTCCCAGAAAGTCAAAAACTGGAGCATCGAGTACATACTTTGGATAATTAACCAAATCAGCATGACTTTCAAGGCAGTCGAACAGAATAAGTAGATGATGTACATGTTTGTCTGTGAAAGATCTGGCGACCAGAAAATCGTCGATTTGCGTAAATAAGAAATCTATACATCTTCATCTGTAAACCACTGAAACGTTTAGGCAGCATCTTTTGGTCATAATGGTACCCTCAACAATTTGAACAGGCCGGAGGGTGTGACGTTGGCAGTCTTTCTGATGCTACTGGAATTTGATGTCGAGCTCAGCCTCAGCCCAGCCTCAAAATAATGTTTTCAATGTGAAATCAAAATGGTCTAGCATCTATGGAGCCTGCAACCTGCCTGAACTCGCATCACATTAGATTCAGATATATGAGGTAATTTAAAGGTGGGTTTGGTAGAAGTACACCCATTGTCATGTTGATCATTAGAAACATACACTATACGTAAAAGCCTACAGATGTGGAATGGTAATCATTATAACAAGAAAAATTAATTTTTTTGGCCCACCATAAAATGGAGACGGAAAAAGTGTGTCAATTCCAAAATAGTAATAAAGTTATTTCGAACATGGTAGCGCACTATTTAAAAAGGATAGTGGTATTATTCCTCGTTGAGTTGAATTTACTGTTTCGATAGTATATCATACATCAAAATTACTGTTTACACTTAAATTGAATTTATTTCAGTTAAAGTGATATTATACTTGTGTTCATTGACCTTGCCTTTGTGTATTAACTGCATCAAAGCATATGTGATCGAATTTGACTTTCTTTATTCGGATAAAGTCTGAAATTTTTTACATTTCCATTTTTGTCTTACCATTTTTAGCTTATTTTTAAGATGATAGTCTCTGCTCTGGACAGGCGTTTTACTTATTACCTGTGGAATAAGGAATTCAGTGTGATGGGTGGGATAAGTGGTTCCATAAGTTGTGTACCCGCTTAAATCCCATTATCTATAAAAGGTACTCGAAGCCCAACTCCCATTGACATTTTATGTTTTATTGTCCAAGCAAAACAATATTTATCCAAGAGGCAATTAGCCTTCTGGCGTTGATTAACAAAAGGTTGATGAGAGCTCTACCGGTACTGTTAGAGAAGAATGCGTCAGTGTCGTAAGTGCTGTTACGGCACGTACCAGACACCTGATTGTGCAACACTCAGTAGAGATTACTATCCTGAAGCAATTAATGAGCTACGCACCATTAGATACAGGTGGCCAAGTTGCTACAGCAGCGATTGATGACTCAAACAAAACCATTGTTTTCCCGACTAGTTCTAACGCGGAAGCTGCAAATGATGGGAAATTGATGATGCAGAGACATAAAAGAGAAGGAAAGATAGCCCAAATAGTGCCTATTTAGTTGAAAAGTCCTTGGTGGACTCATATGCTGTGTTGCAGTCTACTCCGCCAAAGTCCAGAAGTAAGACAATATTTAGTCCTGTCGTAGATGAGAATAGTTTGATCTCGTCAAAGATTTTCGTGAGTCATTCGCTCTACCTCAAGGCTCCGTTACAAGAAAAATTAATGGTAAGCTCCCAGCAGTTAAGAGGCAATATCTGACATCACGATCGAAAGCTGTGGACTCAACATTCAAAGAAGTTAAACCCGTTCCTAGTTTAATCATTTGGAATCTAGAGAAGTAAAAATACAATGAGCCTGCTAAAAGGTGTGCACACGATCTGGAGTTAGTGGAACCTGGCATAAGAAATGTGCCGCCTGAAGGTGTTTCAGAGGTACATATCATGACGTTAATTTTAGGAAAAGTGTGTTCATGCACGATGTACACAGTAATAGTTATCATTATACTACTGATGATACATCTCTTCGAGGAACATAAAGACCTGGGAGTAATAGTTGGTCATGGCTTGAAAAACATACGTATTGCAACGCAGCTGTTTCCAAAGGTCACCGTGAGTTATGGTCGCTTCACTGAGCATTCAAATGGTTCCATGTGATGTTTCGAGAACGAAAAGCATGTTCACAGCCGTGTGTCTACGAGCGAAAATTGATGAGTCACATCATGAGAGAACGAATCAGACACAGAAGGTGAAAGTCAAAAATTTTAAACAGCAATTCTACGCCAATAACGGTAAATGTACAAATTATGCAAAATCATAAAAAATTCGAATAATAACAGAAAATAATTACAAAATAAGTTCTTGTTAACTGTCTTCATACTTGTTCACTTTCTATTCTTTCTATTATTTACTGAAGACTTGAACATTTTGATGAAGCAGTTGATTCGACAGTGACCTTGGCGGCTATTTACATTTCGAAGCTGAATTGCGCTTCTCACATCAACACTAGGATTGTTTGCAGAAGTAAAGTATGTGGACAAGCCAACCAGATCTTGGCGTGATATCATTCTCTGAATTAAAGTGGATGTCATTTTTTGAACAGAAACAATAATTTGTGTACATTCTTGATCGCCTTATTTTGGAGATTTTATCCGCTTTGGAATAAATTTTGGGAAAACGCCATAGGAATTTCGGGCACTTGGCACAAAAAAACCCGAAACTTCCCCATGTTCCGAAAAATCCCCGAATTTTCGGGGAAATCTAGGGTCTTCCCCATCTTATCCAGAATCTTATAAAACTTTGGATTTGCTTCCCCAAATTTCCTCAGACATTGGGAGAGACTAATACATTTCTTACGGCTCTTGGGGGAACCCAAGAATTTACCCAGAAATCTCGAATGTTTTCCAAAATATGGAGATTGGGTTAATACTTTGTTCATGTAGAAATTCTCTATCAGTTGTAATTGTATAACTTTTTCATAGTAAATAGTTCCATAATCACACAATGTTTTTTGAAAAACATATATAGAATCTCGCTCTCAATGCATGTGCGCCTACATGCTATTGATGTGTTCACTTATCCACAACTAGCCTGATAGCATCAAGGCTAGTAAACTAGTCAGTTAGTAGACGTCTTTCTCTCATCTGGTTAAAAGTCGTAGAAAACAATCAAAGTTTTCTAGTTGCTTATCATTTTGGGTCAAAAAGTCTCTCGAAATCTGTCTCAAGTGGGTACTAAAACTCATGAGTAATATTACCTGGCTACATAACATTTTTGGCGAGACTATAATTTATGGACGAACCAATAAGGTATAAGATAATAGGCTTCGGATATTGGCGCGAAACTCACTCATCCAATTTGGTTAAATAGTTTTGGCATTATAACTGATGTCAGTTCGTGATGAAAACCCGAAATCTAATTCCTGACGTTAATTATCAACTGTAAAACAATTCTAATTCCTCACACAGGTTTAGAACCCTCATGTGGTCATATATATTAGATGGACACTCTCAAGGTCAGTCTAGCTTAGCTCAAAGGTCGTCCATAAATTAGTCTCACCCTTGTTGCTCTATGGACATCTCTTAAACTAGAAATTAAACTGGGAATGTTTTGAAGTTCAAATAAGATCCGCGTTTTTAGTTCCCAACTACTTAGACATATGTACTCACCTGTCACATGAGTTTTCCTAATGTAGGCTTTTAAAATGTGCACTTGGATGATGTCCGTTAACAAGTTTATCGAGATTACTTCATATTCTGTCGACCATATAAGTCTATTCGTTTACAAGTTACTTCAGTCGGCTGAATACCGGTTATTTTCTCTGCGTATCAGTACTGAAGGATACAATCTTAATTCATCGTGATTAGACAAAACAGTTTAAAACCAGAATGTCAATTATCTTATATCTGTTTGTCAAAAAATGTTCCGTAGTGATCAATCCCTATTTTGACCCCAGAGCGCTGCGATTATGACAATTAAATGGTTTTTATTATGAGATCTTGAGTTTATTTAGGTGTTGGAAAATTAGACACAATACTTCCAAAAGTTTTGTCAAAGAAAACATGCATAGCACGTCATTTCTTGAAAAAATATTTCTTTTTATTGTTGAAAGTGTCCTAAACATATCTTACAAACATTTAATCAATATTCATAAATAACTGATACTGTATCACTACCTTTCTCCTGAATTAGATGGAGAGACTATCATTTACGGACAAACCAATCGAATTTCAGTTAATAGGTTTTGAATTTCGGCACGAGATTCATCCATTCACTTGACTATATAGCATTTTAGCATCATAGCTGATATCGGTTCTTAGTGACAACTCTAATTCCTAAAGTTAACGTCCAGTTGCAAATACTAATCCTAATTCTTCACATTAATTTGTAACCCTCACTTAGTCCTAGTAGGCAGTCGGACACCCTTAAGGCCACTAGCATCACTCAAAGGTCTCCCCAAATGTTTTGCAATCATTCTGCTGCTACTACCACTTTTTATATCCATCTTGATAGTTTCATATCGTTGTGTCTATGGGTTTTAAGTACCTGAACCGTTGTACATATGTGCCAAGATCTGTGTTTCTTATGTCCGACTGACCGTGACAAAAGCAACCAAGTACAGGTAGACCCATTTTGGATTGGCAGTAACCCTGTAATATAAGCTGTTACGTTCGTTATTCTGTTCTGTTGGATTGATGCTACCATGATATTTAGATCAAATGTACATGAAGGAGGCTTTAGATCTCTACTCTAGTGACCAGAAGTGGAGTGCTCGAACCACCAAGACATAAACCGTTGGACTTGTATTATTCATCATATTTATTCCCGTATAAGTTTCTTGTCCTTCTAGGATAAAAAGCGGCACTGCTCCGTCGTTGATATTGCAGTTATATGTCTGTTAACGAATGCTAGTCAAAGGTGATACATATATTTAAATATCTACGATCGAGCTACTACATACTTAATAACGTCCTACTTTCATTTTTATGTATGCTAGGAGTTTTGACTTTAACATCGTCACGAATGCGATTATCGCGTAGCAATTACTTCCTACGTCAAAAATGCATCATTTTTCGTCAAAAGTGTAAATTGACGGAGAACAGTCCCATTCGTGTACGTTTCGCTCCAAGTCCTACAGGTTTTATGCATTTAGGCGGTTTACGTACTGCCTTATTTAACAAGTTGTTTGCTGTGAAACACTCGGGGAAATTCATACTGCGTATTGAAGATACGGATAAGGTAAATTAATTATTCCTACATGCTTATTCAGTAGTCCAGAGTTCAACCATATGCTAAGGACGATATTATCGAGTCGCTTCACTGGTCTGGACTAACTCCTGACGAAAGTCCAACCACTGGTGGAAATTATGGTTCGTACATTCAAGTATGTTCGTCAGAATTTTGTAAAATGTCCTTATCATAAATGGTCACTATTTGGAGAAGTTTAGTCTGAAGTTCATTCTTGTGTTGTTGCTCAACAAGTACGGTACATATGTGTATTTCGATCACTTTACACGTCAGGTAATGATAGTACTTACCCACTTGAATCAATCGGATCATGTTTTACTTTCTCAATCGTGTTGAAACAATTTTGATAATATTTTGTGCACTAATTATGCCATTGGTCAGTTTTCAAGACTCCTGAAGCATGTATCAATAGCCACAGAAACCAATTGCTTATCTGAATATTAGCTTTTTCACTTGTTTTTTTTACTTTATTGATTTTTATGTAGTCACTTAGAGAGTAGGTAATTTTAATTGTTATTACTGATAAAATATCTTTATTTTGTAATGTCATGTACTTCTGTTGTTGCTTTCATTACGGCTCAGATTAATTGATTTTTCCGACCCCTAGTAAAAGTGGCATTCAGTGCTCGAACTTGCCAATGAAGCAGTACTAATATTCTTTACAATAGCATCATGTATATGGAATATTGGAATATGAACATGGTTACCTAGTCTTAGTATGTGTAGCAAAAATATTTTATTTGTTCCAGTGGCTATAGTTTTCTCCTTTCTGGATTAAGAGCTGGTAGACCAAAATGTAACATAAGTTCATTCAGTCGTTGACTGTTGGTATAAATTATGTCGGTCGATGCTAACTTACTGGCTGTGGTCCACACAATACCTGTGATCATTGACATGGCGCCAAATCGGTCACAATCGCTCAGTTGTATTTATTCATTAGTCATCTGTAAATCGATGTAGTTTCTCTTTATTCGTCGGGAAACACACTTTATTGTGATAGTTATTGTTTACTATGTGCTTATAGTTCTTATAATCATTATACCTGAATTTGGATTGAATAGCTACTTGTAGAGTTTTTTCAGTGAATGATTGAAGGTATCCGTTTACATACCGGGTGTACACATTTAATAACTTACTAGTTTGATAAGGTTTAGTGAAAATGAAGTGTATCAATTGTATATATCTTTATGCTATGATCTCCTATTACGACCCAGCTACTCTTATTACTTAGTATTCGGACACTACGTCACTCGACTAGTCGCAAAATCAGAACACGGTTGGACAGGAAGGTAATTATGCTCTAAATAAACAGGGTGAAAGGGGACTATGAGTCACAGTAAAAAACACGTTAATATGTTTATAATTTTATGCGAGAAGATTCTAGAGTCTTCTCCAATTATTCTCTTGCATCTATTGACTTAGAAAGGACCAGTCAGAATGCTTGAATGTAGTCCTTCACGGAACATGCTTTAATTCAATATACACCCCGTTAACACTATCTATTTACGGGAATAATTATAAATTGTAAAGGTTAGGTTTATAAATCTCTTTATTTAATCATAAAAATCATTTGTTATAACTCTTCATATATCTTCATTAGATAGTCATCGTCCTACGTTGTAGCTGACTGACTGGATAGTAATTCTCCTACAATTCGGCTTATGATACCTTATTTTCAGCTCTTTATAATCATTCACACAAGTTAGGTATCGTATTAACTTTGTTATGGATTGAATTTAACAATCACCTGCAATGTTCATCTAGGTTTACGTTTATTTGATAACTATTTCCAGTGTAAGCATATCTTTAACATCAAAAGCTTGTTGTATTGACATGAAAAATATTATTTCCACATCATTTTCTGTTTTCTGTTGGTCTTTTAGTCGGAAAGAAAACCCCTGTATTCATCTATTGCTCAAAAGTTAATTGATGAAGGATTTGCTTATCGATGCTTCTGCTCTTCAGAACGACTAGCTATCTTACGCAAGGAACAAAGTCGTCGTAGGGAACCTCACCGTTATGATAATCGTTGCCGTAGTTTATCTCAAAGGGAAATCGACGAAAACTTATCAGCTTCTCGGCCATATGTTATTCGGTTCAAGGTTTGTTATTGGTCTCATAATAATTTACAGTCGTTTTTAAGTTTGAAAAACCATTAAGTGTTGTATTTTCGGAAAACAACATATTAAACTGCGGTCACAAGAGGCTTTTACACCAACCGACTTTCGAGATATTCAAACTACTAGCCTGAACTGATCGTTTTCATCTCCGAACCCGAAAGTCCCGAGTTCTACGTTATTTTCAATCATGGTTCCACGAAACAGTAAAACAGCTTTTTCAGTCCTCCACAGTTTTCAGTGTTTGTTCGTCTAATTAAGTTTCCTGGTATTATAATCGTAAATGCTAAAAAACGTATGATTGATTAAAAATTCGTAATAAGTGTGAACAGTTACGCACCATTGAAGAATCGTAATTTCATTAGTTGTCAACCATCAGTCTACGTCTGAAAATCATTTTACTTCCCATTTAAAATAATAAGAGTTTTGAGTAACGTCAGATCAACGAATCATAATTCAAGAGGACAAGTTCTTTTTTTTAAATTGATGTGTAAGAATGTACAATACTAGTGGACGAACTCTTAGATATCCAAGGTTTTACAGTTTATACGATCACTACCATTTTAGTATCGTGTTATATCGCACAGCGTATTAAAAGACATATGTAAAAGTTATGTTTGAATTAGTCGGTATTAAAATTAAAAAGTGAATTTCACGTTCATGATGTCTCATATACCAAAAGAAAGCGCCATAAGTTAAAAGATCATCAAAGAAAAGGGGGGCAAGAAGGAGTTGATTAGTTTTAATCAATAGACTTATGTCAAATGCAAAAGTTCAAAATAAAATAGTAGAAATGTGTCTTATTTTCCGAAATTCGCATGTATAATCCAGTGGTAGTCATTCACTTGACCTCACGTAGTCAATATGGACAGATTACACGATTTACTCTCCGCGTATCTTGGATCCAAAATGATAGAGAGCACAGCATATGTCACTAGGGCGATATCCCATAATCATAGCTAATAAACCCTGTTGTCCAACATGACATTGAAGGCACCAAACACGTGATTTAGAGTACAGTTTCAGGAAACCAGGAATAACACTTCTTAAATTCAAACAGTAACACTGATGGTACATGGAGATAATGATGGAACTATGACAAAAGGTTTGATATAGGGGTGAAGAAGTGACGAAACTTTAGAAATTATGTTTCCTACTAATTGGGGTATTATAAGAATATCATTATTTTACTTTTTTTACTCGTCTACATCATTCGATCATTATCTATTCCATAGTACATTTTGAGGTTTTTGATGCGTTATATATATATATATGAATTTGTTGATTTTTAACTGCATGAAGAACAGCAAATAAATGAATAAGATTTTTAGTACCTACTTCTTCATTCTTAATCAGCCCACAGATTTAAGAATATTAAATTCGTTGTAAACAAAATTAAAGAAATGGTAAAAGGAGTTAAGTGCAGTTTATAAGAAAAGATAAAGTAAATTACATGAACGATCAAACTAATTTGTAATTATCAGAAGCTAAAAATTAAAAAAATATCATTATAAATTAAAAGAAAATAGCGCTGTTTTTTAAAAATTGTTAAGCAAACATCATTTGAAGAAATTAAAGTAATACTATTCATGGAATAATTGAAATTAGTGGATTTTAGTGGAAGATGTTAACATTTAATGAATTAGGGGAGATAGGTTTATGCAAAAATTGAAGGTAGAAAAGGTCAAACTAGAAAAAAGATGAGAAGGTAACAATTAAATATGAAGGAAATGAAAGATAAAGTAAGAAAAACGCTGTTAAAATGTGTTTTTATATGCAGGCCTAACCTTATTTTGCCTACACTTAACGCTTCTTTTTATGCAAGTGAGATATATGTGCACAGCTTTCAGGAATCTTGGTTTTATGTTATGCATAGTATTGTATAAGCACAACGCTAGATGGTTATGCACGACTACATGTTTTGGAATAGAGGATTTTATATTTCAGCGTTGTCCTTCACTGAGTCACTTTGGGATTGTCCCCCAATGAATGACCTGTGTACATAGCTCTTCAAGGGCAGGTGGATGAGTAAATGCACATCAGTCAGTTAAGGTTACTTATCCCCTTACGCAGTTGTGTATCAGTGAGCGACTAGTATAGGATAATGGTAATGACTCTGCATCGAGCGTCCTAGCGACTTTGACCAGGTAATTACTTAAAGTTTACTCCGCAATATCACTTTTGACTTCTGGATTAGCTTATAATTTCTTCGGTACATTCATGATATCTGAATAACCCTTAGGATAATTAATACTTTCTTCAATGAACCGTTAAGTTACTTGTTCGATCGCATCGTCGACAGAAGAAACTAGGTAATTTATTCTCTTTGCGGTAAAACTGTGGTTTCAACGTTATGTTGTCTGTAAGCCACTCCTATCAGGACTATTGACATTTATTATTAGAGAAACGGTCATTTTTAAAATTTTTCTTGAATTTGTTTATGCAAATTGAAATCATTCTCACCAGTGACAAAGTTAACAAGTAGTAGTAATTGGCTTTTTTATTTCATATATTAATGTAACTTCAGATACAAGTATTCCATTTTTGTTACATATTTTTGGATATTATACGTAGAAAATGGGGTTAAAAAAGCCAATAGAGGATAACAGTTTTCTTGTTGATAATGAACATTATCTTCTACCAAGAGTTGACACGATTTTTGATATCGTATAAGGATAAGGCGTTAATTTTAGGTGAATAAGTCAATCACTTCTTTTATCTGGTAGGTTATTTTAATCACATTGGATTTGGTAGTCAACAAATTCTACGGTGTTTTTTTCACCTGCCTGTTGATACCTATATTTATTTTCCACCGAGAATTTTTTAATTATCGAAAGTATTTTATCTTTTATATGATTTACTTAGATTGATAATTCACCAATAGAAGTAAATGACATCATTTATGGAAGTTCTGTCTTCAATTCACTCAATTCTGAAGGAGATTTTGTAAGTACCATTTTATTAACATTATTTCTTTTACTATCAGTACTGACAAGACTAATTGTTTTTCTATACAGTACGTGAATGAAAATGCCTTTAAACTTCCGCTAGTGTCTAATTTGACTACAGTGAATGGAGTAAGCGAACTCGTTGACTACCTAATTTATTATGGAAATCTCACCAACCTCGATAGACTATTGGTTAACAAAGTCTCGTCACAGATACTAAAAGGTATATGGATTTTTTCCACCTTACGCTATCACTAGTATTAGCGACATTTTCTTCTGCATAACACTGTTCTGTACTATTTTACAACTGTAAGTGAAGAAAAATGGCTTGATTGAATATTTGATTAGTTGGTCATCTTTTAAGATTAAGGGTAAGATTTTTAAAGGTTTTGAAGCATCGTTTTCTTTGTAAAGTGAATTATTTTAGCTGAATATTTCGAATTAATTATTCTGTTCTTATTACTTATCTGTTGCACTAATTTTTCAGTCTCCTACGGACTTGAAAGTGTTACAAAAATATCAAGTATTTGATTAATCCTTTGATCATTGAAACAATGTTGTGACTGGCCATTGAACTCCACATTTAGTACATTTTGGTAATAAGTTTCCTTGAATACGTTTACGAATTAATTTCAATTTGACTAAAAAGCGTGTGTTTACATTGTGTAATGTGAACATTTTGTAGTAAGTATGTACTTTATCAGCTTGGCAATATATTTTTCTCATACAAGCATATAGTAGAATGACGTGTGGTCTTACAAAAATAATCAATAAGATATTTTGTACCAACTGTGTTTTCTTTGATTTATTTTATTGCTTCAAACAGATCATTGTGAAATCCGATGGTATGCCTGTTTACCATTTGGCCAACGTAATTGATGATCATTATATGGAAATCAGTCATGTTATTAGAGGATTTGTAAGTTTATTATATTTTTCCATTTCCCTAATTTTATTTCAATTAATGAGTGGCTTCAGCAATCAAAGGTTATTTTCACTAAACATTGAATTCAATAATATAATAGTGTGCAAAGGCTAATTTCCTCTATATCTAACTCCAATAAGTAGTATCCTGTTTACTGAGTATTTACGCAGGCTAAATCTCCTAGTAGTATTATGACTTCGCTCAAAATTATTAAAAAGCCTGAATGCCAGTTGTAGAGCTGGTTTATTGTTAATGACTAGTAAAAATACGCAAGCGTGCAGAAAGCAAGCAACACAGGAAAACTAGTGAGAGTTTGTGTGTGAGTATTAAAAATCCATATATGTTTATGAGTGTTGTGCATAATTTACTGATTGTTTGTGTGTTACACCCAATGGGAGAATAGATAAAGATTGATGTGCAGACATGCGCTCAGTCAATTTTACATGTTTAAATTACAGCGAGTAGACAAATAATAAAATAGTTGAATTGGCTCACTACAAGTGATCACCTAGTATTCTAAAGCCTTTTCAAAAGTGGTCATTAGTATACACATATGGACATCATTAAGATAAAGTAAAATATGGCTAATTAGCATTTCAGTGCTCCCTACTGGTTTATAAAGGGAGTAGTATGAAAGTAACACGTTATTCACTTGACCAAAATATTTTGAAGTTGATCCCTAGCAGATCCGTGGACGCCAACTGTTAGGGAGTTCTACGTTGTGACGAAACATCTGTTCAGTGGTCTCAAGTTTTCAACGTTTATACAGTTGACATCGATCCGTGTTGATAAATCTGCTTCAGTATTCAACGGACATTGAATATGTTATGCAGGCGATTGTTTAGAAATACCTTTAGATTTTTGGTGGTTGCAGTAGTTCTCCAGGTTTCAGCTCCATACGGTAGAACTGTCTCGACGTTCGAATTGAAGATTCTGACTTTGATGTTGATTGACAGTCGTTTCGAGTTCCACATGTTCTTCAATTGTGCGAATGCTATCCTTGCTTTTCCAATCCTTGCATTTACGTCTGCATCGGGTCCTCCTTGTTCATTTATGATGCTGTTCAGGTATGTGGACGTTTCCAACTCTTTCCTGACTTCTCCATCAAGTGTGATTGGGTTAGTGTTCTCTGTGTTGTATTTGAGGACCTTGCCTTTTCATTTGTGTGTGTTAAGGCCGAATGATGCAGAGGCTTCTACTACACTGGTTGTTTTGACTTGCATTTGATCATGTGTATGGGAGGGAAGAGCTAGGTCACCTGAGAATTCAAAATCGTCTAGTTGCATCCAAGTTGTCCATTGTACTCCGTGCTTCCATTCAGATGTGGAGGTCTTTATAATCCAGTCAACCACTAGAAGAGAGAGAAAGGGTGAGTAGGCAGACCTGTCTGACTCCGGTCCTAACTTGGAATGTGTCGGTCAGCTGTCCTCCATACGTGATATTTCAATGTAATCCGTTTTATGAATCCCATATGATGTTGACGGTCTTCTCAGGTACACCATATTGTCGAAGAAGCTTCCACAATGTTCTCCGATGTACGCTGTCAAAAGCTTCCTCATAGTCAAGGAAGTTGGTGAAAAGTAACGAATTCCACCCAAACTATTGCTCAACAATGATCTGTAGTGTGGCAATTTGGTCTGTGCACGACCGATCCTTACGGAATCCGGTCTGTTGACCTCGGAGTTGGGCGTCTACTGAATCCTCCATCCAATTCAGAAACACTATTGAAAACTTCCTGGTACCGATGGTAGTGTGATGCCTCTGTAGTTCTCACATTTGCTCAGATCTCTTTTCTTTGGTATCTTGATGAGGTATTCTTTCTTCCAGTCAGTCAGTGGCACTTGTTCTCCCTCTTAAACCTTACTGAATAGAAGGTGGAGCATCTTTGCAGTTACTTCTAAATTTGACTTCAGTGCTTCAGTTGGTATATTGTCAGGTTCCACTGATTTCGCACATTTGGTTTGACTGGTGATCAGCTTGATTTCTTCGATTGTTGGTGCAGTAACATTTATAGGGATGTCTGTGTGTGCTGCTTCGGTGTGCGTTAGATTCAGTGGAGTTAGCCTGTTTAAGAGTTCTTTAGTGTTCTGCTCATCTGTTTCTCTGTTCTTGAATCTCAATGATTGGCTTGCCGTCTTTGTCTCTGACTGGTTTACTATATCCCCCTACCAGTTTCTTCGTTGTGTCATATAGTTGCTTTATATTTCCTTCTGTTACAGATTTTTCCACTGTCACTAATATGTCTTCCACGTACTTCTGATTTTCAGCTCTCATGCTCCTATTCACTTGCTTGTTTGCTTGAGTGTATTCAGCTTGTGTCTTGACTTTCTCCGTTCTTGTTAGTCTGTTGTTAATTGCTGTCTTTTTGTTCTTCTTTTCTTAGATCTTGTCCAGGGTTTCGACAGAGATTCATTCGTTGTGATGATGATTCCTCTTGAGGTCTAGCATTTCCTAATACGTTGAAATTAGTGCTTCTTTCATCTCTTTCCAAATGTTCTCCATGATAGTTGTTTCATCTTCCAGCAGATCTTGTGAATCTTCGAACTTGTTGTTGAGAGTTATCTTGAATTAGTTGAGTTTATCAGTATCTCGAAGGGATGTTGTATTAAACCTTTGTAATGCTGTTTGTCAGTTGTCTTCTTTAGCTTCATTTTCATCTTGGCAACCACCATGTGATCTGAAGCTATATCAGCTCATCTTGTCCTCACGTCTTCCTCTCATATAAAATCTGACTTATAATTTTGCAAGTTCTGCGCTGCCTGAAGTCTTTGACAGAGTTTACCATCACTTACTATTATCAACTATCCATCTTCCTAGTATTGATTCACCTGTTTCCACAGTTTTGTTGTCCGATCATGAAAGAGCCATCAAACGCTCAAGTGAATTCAGTAATCCTCTCTTACTTAAATCTATGTGGTGTAAATACTCATTTCATATGTCAAAATTTATGGTATGCTAATTTAATGTCATTTACATCTCTACCCAAAATATCTTTAATTTTGCATATATTCTTACCCTGAAATATAGGAATGGTTTACTTCCACGCCTAAGCATTTGATGCTATACAAAGCTTTAAATTGGTCACCTCCACAGTTTGCACATCTTCCTCTGTTACTTTCCAGGTTAGTGGTAAACATTTTTTTAGTTTCTTAAGAATTAGAGTAGGCAATCACTATGTATGTATTCGTCAGAATATGGTTTAGGGATTTTAGTTGTTTTGAACATAACTGTAATCATTTGTTCTGAATCGTTTCATCTACTTCGGTTCGCGCAGATGAGTTCCACCTTTAAGCTATTGCACCGGTCGTAATATACAAACCGGTAAATAACTTCTTAAGTGTAGCTCACAAAACCGTCAAAAAATTAGTACATACTTGTTTGTCGAGTTAATTTGAATAATTATACAGCGAATAAACATTTCTCTTTTCTGTCATATCAATTTAGTTCAGGTGGTAAACTGTCTAAACGTAGTCCAGAATTCTCTCTTATCGGTAGTGTTCACAGTTTGCGTAAGGCTGGTTATATGCCGTCTGCCGTATTGAATTGGTTGACATCCACCGGAGGTGGTGTCTGTCATGATGATTCTAACGAAAAGGGCGACTTTTCGAATAAGTGGAGGCCTGAATTTGAATTCTCTGAATTAGTTTCTCGAGTAAGTTACAATTTTATATATGGGTTTTTTCCTGGTCCTATATGCTTGATTTTAATTTTCTAAACTCCTGTGATATCTTCCGCTTTTTACCCTGTTTGAAAGCTAGGGGATTGTCAATCGGATATTTTTCAAGCCTTATCTGGACATGCATTTACTTTGTCTTTTAAATTGTTGTAAATACGATCGATAATTTGTCACAAAATACTACCCTTGATTTGTGGATCACACTAGCTTTTTCGATCACCATAAATGGTGAGCATAATTAGAAGAGAGATTTACTAAGCGTTTGTGCAGCAGTTATAGAAAGTGAAAGATTTTTTCCAGTATAGACTACTGAATGTCTTGAACTATTAAGGCAATGTTCTAAAGAAGGTAATTTTTTAAGTAACCCATCGACAGACAGCGCGTAATTACATATTTCAAGAGAAGACGAGTAAAATGATGGACGAAACACTGAAATTAAATCCAACTGAATTAGATAGAACTGGTATGGCTCAAAGCTGAGCACATATATTTATACTTGGTGAGTTACATTGCCAAGTGAAACCAGAAAAGTACCCATATCTTCCATATTTTATAAGGAAGTCGAAGAAAACCAGCAAATTTTCTTGGATCATCTGCAATCACCTGATAAAATTATTGTAACAGAAGTATTGCTATTTTTGGTGCGAGTAGCACTGCTCAGTTAGTTTGTCAGTGAAAACACCAAAGTCATTACAATATGGCAACATCCCATGCAAATGTATTCTGAAGTTCATCAATAAAACACTTTAAACTTCATTTCATCGAATGCAATAAATTTTAATACATATTTCTGGTTTTATATGAACTAGCTTGAAACGTACCATTTGATTATTCCATATAGTTCAACTTAAGTAATATCAATCGTCATAACGCTCATTTATCAACAGATTTGTTAAAAATATGCGGCCAATTTCATTTTGATAAAGCTGTAAACAATGCATTGGATTATTGTATAATGCATCAAAAGCAAAGTAATCAGACCACTTATAAAACTCCACAAATACTAGAAACAATTAAAGAATATCTGCAGTCAAATGTAGAAAACCTATCGATTGGTAAAAGGTAAGACGCGCAGTATTTTAATGTCGTAATTGCATTTTAGCTCAAGTGATTTCATTAAGTTTCCGTTTTATTAACCATTTGTCATTTTGGCTATATTTTCGATAGGCAAAAATAAGAGAAATGTTTAGTCACTTTGTGCTTTCACTTAAAACTTGGAGTACTGTCCAAATTCATATGTTCTGACAGAACCCTATTATCCAGTATATTTTTTGCCGTTTATATTCTTAATCGAGCGTTCTTGGACCTACTATAACGTTATGTCATTCTAGTGAAATTCAGAAGCCTTATAGTTATCACTTTAAGTTCTTACTAAACTTTACTAAGTTTCAATAACTTTCTTATGTTTAGCAGTTACACCATACTATTACTGTAGTCTATTAGGGCGGTTAATTGTAAAGCGAGGCGACTGCTGGATCCTAGTCTCAATAGGGTAGTAAACATACCATATAGTTATCAGAAATGTAAAGCACAAACCTAGACTCCGTCACTAGCCATTATCAAAACATTTCTGCCTTATGTCCAGCTAGCAACCACGACCACCTTACATTAGCTATCTCATCTACGCACGTAAGGGATGCATATAATTAGGAGTTACTTTTTCTCATACAACTTACAGTATTTACTAGTCTTCAACAAGATTTATTTTTTACTGTTTACAGTTCTAAAATATATTTGGAAATATGCTAACCAGTAGAAATTACGCCTACAGATTTGGAATTCAATTAATGAGTGGAAGTCATCTAAGACAAGATGAATAAAATGAAAAACCAAGCTTAATCTATTGTTAGTGACTTATAAGATAAACGTGTACATTAATCACAAATGGAAAGCAGAAATTCAATGGATTGTGAAAGGCGTTTGAATCATAGAAATACCACGTGGATGTAGGGTGATATCAATGAAACTAGGGTCAGTTGTGTACAGTCATCGTGCCAGTATCTGGTAGCGATAACGCTTAATTGTACCATTCTCAATGGCTTTTAACAGACGAATACTAGACTTGAGGATACTTAGAAACCATTATAGACTTGAAAGGGCGGTGTAAAGTATGGTCTACTCACCCACTAATTTTCGCACATTTTAAATACAATTTTTTAAGCAATTTCACGCGTGAAGAAGTATTGTTCCTTGCTATTGTACAGACTACTATTTTTGCCTTAATATTTATATTTGTAGTCAATCTGCTCAAAATGATTTGCGTGTGTTGAAACGATTGCAACTCTTGAAATGTCGTATTCACTGCTTAGATGACTTAGTCGACCCCGATAATGGTTTCTTATTTATGTGGAAGTCTCCAGATTTAGCTACTTGTGAAGGCGTTATCACTAAAATTTCTATCAAAATACCTTTACAAGATATACTCAGATTGTTTGGATGTTTTGTTGAAGAAATGAATCATATTCTTCAGAAAGAACAAGTGAATGATAGCACAGATTTAAACTCCGATGTGATAACAACTTCCCTTCAGAGTGTCTGCGAACGTTCAGGAGTTGAACGTAAGACTGTATTGCACCTAATCAGATTAGGCCTTATAGGATTCGAGGTAAGTGCTTAAATGATTCTTCTGTAAAAAAGCCAACTTTTTACTCTTGCGTGCAATGAAATATTGAGAGTGCACTAGTTTTTCATCCATAATACTTATCATTCGAAATTACATGCAGTTTTTGTGGTACGAACATAATATTCATCGCCTTAAAGTATAGTTATTATCTTTTGTGTAACTGTATGTATACACTATTAGGAATTTTCGCCTACTTATTTACCGATGAGTCAGTAATCTAAAGTTTGATTGAAATATAGTGGTAGCCAGCAGCTAGAAACGGTAATCAAAATGATGGAATTCATTAGATGATCAAACGGTCAAGTAGTTTCAAACTGGTGTTTAAAATAACTTTTTACGACCTACTGTGAATTATGTAGCATATATCAACTGATTGTTTTGTCCTAAGAGAGGTTTCATAATATCACGCGACCTACCGATTGTTGGCACTATCAATTTATTATCATTGCGAGATGTTTGACACTAGCAATAAGAAATAAATATGTCAACGAACGACACGCAGTTGAGTTTAGTGTGTCAATAACGATGTTAGCCTTGGGTCATCCCAACGTATAAAATTTCTAATAATTGCCAGTACTTCATAATATAAATTATTACCTTTGAATATTCAGGTGGGGCCTCCTGTGGTCGAACTTATTCAATTGTTGTCCATACCAGAAGTGACTAATCGGATAAACAATCTAAAGGATTTTCTAATACGGAACTGTTCTCAATCTCATGAAGCTTTGTAAACGTTCATAGCTGGTCTTACTATTTTTTTCTGATTTGTATATTTAACTGATTCCTACTTTAAGATCAATATAGTACTTCTTGAATCTAACTGCCTTCTATTATTGAACACTTTCATTAGATAATAACTCAGAAGTATCTTTCGTTAGGGTTAACCAAACATCTGTATAATTTACTATTAATTTCTAATGCAGTGTTTGGTTTCTTCGCCCCTGTAATATCCTTGTAAGGAGTGTTGACTATGCTTCGAAAAATGGACAAATATTTAGCTAATATATCAAAGTCACAATATTACGAAAAAAGGAATTTAAAATATCTAATAAGTTAAGATTAAAATAAGCTTGAAGACTCTCAATTTAGTCTTGTGGTGAACTGTGTGCGTTGTCGAGATGTTAAACATGCCTATCATTCAAGTGTTTGATTTGCAATGTGGTATAGACTTAAATCCTACCCTGACTACCTGTCGGTTGGTATTATTAGGTATGGGCGTTACAGTCGAATCTGGCTACGTTTGTTGAGTTAAACTACTGGATTCTTGAGGTCAAACACGCTGAAAAATTTATGGGTCAATTGGATTGTAAAATATGTTTACTTTCTCGAGCCATGCTGAATGGTAGATTAAGAGATGTCCACTGATGATCTAAGAAGCACCAGATTAAAGATGCTGTGTTCTCATAAATCTAAAGATCGCAACTGTCAATTTCATTCAAGAACATGGATTTTTCTTAATAGGTGACCTAAACAGCAGTAAGGTAATTAATTTCTAAGCTTTTTAGGTTGTTTAATTTAATATCTGCTGTGCAACCGCGCATCTTAGTTAGGAAAGCTGTACGAATCCCAGATAAAATCCTGAAATTTATTCATCAACGACTTCGTCTTACAAACAATAACAAACACGATCTACCTATTTAATAGATTTAATTCTCATGTTTTAGACAAAATAACGAAAAATACCAAATCTGTCTTCACTCTACAAGTAAACGTAAATAAAACTAGATCCAGTTTTACCTGGTTGACCATGTTAATGAAACGTTTATTTTGTGGAATCGTATAAATTTGCTCAATGTCAAGGACGAAATTACCATGGGAAGCCGTATATATTTTGTTTCAATTACCTAGTAGCATCATTCTACTAGCTTAGCATCCAACAATCCTCATATTGAGCATAATTCTAAGAAAACTTTATATAAATACTCAATTGATCTGTATTTATTGAATTAAACTATAATATGATTACAAAAACTAACAGTCCAGTGCAAATTCAGTGGATACATAGTCGATTGTAAGTTATCCGCTTTTTTGTATTAGGATCCTCAGTTAATTAAGATTAATATTGATAGTTCGATTCGTTGGAGTGAATTTTCTGTGGAAACACACAAAGAATGAGAAACATAAAATCATACCTTATGCTGACACCAGCTTTATTAAATAAATATTTAGCTGCTTGATTAGATTCCGTTCCATTCTTCTTATCCGAATAATACACCACTTCTTTAATTCCAGCCTGTATAATAACTTTAGCACATTCATTACATGGGAACATTGTTGTGAATAGTGTGCAACCTCCAGAATGAGCTTCATTACGATTCAGTACGGCGTTCAACTCTGCATGACAAACTACAAGTCTCTGTAATAAAAAAACGTTAACAGACACTAGACAGCATACCATAAAGATACTTATTTTCAAGTTCATTTGTTGATCCTTTTCCCCAAGGGACATCATCATCTAAAATACCGTTGGGCATTCCATTATATCCTATTCCAACAATTTTCTTTTCTTGGTTAACTATGCAAGCGCCAACCTAAGTTTGAAAAAAGAACACAAGGAATATGGAGATTACAAATTAGAAAAATAAGAAATAATAACTTAGTAACCATTAAAATATTTGAGTGCAATAAATTTAAAATCGTGTCGACTGTGTACGAAAGCTGACGATAATAACTAACTTTGTCGAAAACAATCAGTTTTTACGTTGCTATATCCAAATTTTCACGAACATAGGTTTATTTTACGTTCGGATTCTAGTGATGTTAACCTACAAGATTGGTAGACATACTAAAAGAGGGAGCAATCAAAGACTGAAGCAACACAGTGAAAAACATATTTCCAGGATAGTATTATTTTATGAAAAGTAATCCTCTGGGAATGTGGATAACAAACAAGATTTTGAGGGACTCTCGGGATTTATCTGTCTGTCTAGTAAGTCAGTGGTATAAATACCCATTGGGTTATCAGTCGGCTTTTTATAACAACACATGGAACTCATACCTAAGGGGATTTGCAATCTTTCCAAGTAAACCAGTTAATTGTGAGAAAACGGCAACAAAGTCGAGGTGGATTTATGGCAACGTTCAAACAAACGCTTTATTAGCACATTAGGTGAAGGTTATGTTTTCAATAAATGGTCTTTTATTCTTTACTTCGGTTGATATAGACTGTCATTATTATTCGATTGTAGGCACCTCTCACTTATTATTCATACATGGTAAGACTGCTTAGTTAGTAATGTTGAAATTATGCTGGGGGTACTAATTTGAGATAATTAATCAACTGGAGAGGTTGTAAACCGTCGTCAACTAAGTAGGTCGGAACATATTACCCATACCAAGCTACCACACAATAACTGTGGTCCGTAGTTAGAGATTAAGATATCACTTAACAACCGTCCAGAAAGAACTGGCACATCTATTCCATATCTCTCAAGAGATCCTGAACAGTATCCGATTTCATTTGTTCTTTCGGAACTACGCTTGGTTGTCCGTCACAACTGATTATACTTCGAATATTCTGCCTTTCATCTGATTGGTTTTTTAAAGCTTTGCTAAGGTGGAATACAGCAACTTGGGCTGAGGAAAATGTTGTTTGTGATTGACCATAGCCAAAAATTATTCGGTTTCTATTAGTATCCTTGAAAATTGAAACTACATATCTATTTGCAATATGAGAATGTTTACATGCAAAGCAACAGAGAATTACATAGCATATAAAAAACACTTACTTGAGTCGAAGGGTCTTTACTGCGCATAGCGGACAATAGTGCTATAGACATGAAATATTCATCCCATGATATATAATTGCTACGTTTTTGGTTCCCATTTAAACTGAGGTTTTTTAATTCTGGAGACAATCAAAACAAATATGTAGAAAACAATGCGTAAAAGTGACTACAAAGGTTGAAAAAGAATGTATTTACCATTAGTTGATGTAAAGATTAAAACATTCCCCAAACCGATACGTCGTGGAGGGGAAATCTGAGCTCCTGAAGGTTGCACGTGGCATATTTACTGAATTACATCTAGGTAAGAAAGTGAAATCTTGGTAGTCACACTAAGCTATTCCACAAATAAAGGTTTGGGTTTATCAAAACTAAAAGCCTTTTAACTCTTGAAATTAGAAAGTTGGGGGGAATAGGCGAGATGAAAATACTGACATTGATTTTAGAAGTTTTATTGCGTTCGAAAAGTTAACAGAATCCAGTCTTGCCAATATCCCTAGTAAATTTCGGAAGTATACATCTAGGATTAGCTAAGAACAAGCTCATGTTAAGCAACTTACAATACAACCTGATGGGAAACACTCATATCAATAAAGGGAATGAAGCACTATCAAGTCCAACAACCATTGTATAAAACGCATCTAAAAGCGACAGCGATCGTCGTCTTACTCTTCGAAGTGTGGGATTGTAAAGCAGCAAAAGTAAAACGTATCTTTTTCTTTGCGGATTTTGAACCGTAGAAGTTAAAATAACAGACAACCAGTGGATTGAAAATATATGCCTTTGTAAATAGGGGTACTGGAACAAAACACTAAATGTCAATAATAACTATTAATTTGGAAATCGACCAATCCGATAACTGAATCAGGAATAAGAAGTCTCGAGGATCCAGACGAGTCATGGCTTCGATAAGTATCGCTTAACGTTGCTAAAATAAGAGATATAATTTACGTTTGAGACAATATATTAGGACCAGTGTTTAAACTTAATAGAAATTATTTTGGATATTGACATGATTAGTATAGCTCTCCATGCACAACAAGAGCTCTGAATGGAAGTGTCTTAGTAGTTGATTATTGAACCCGTGAGTCCTCAAAGAGTATGCAGTTTCAATTTATAAACATAAAGACCAGCATATATAACAAATCGTAAGGGTTAAATGGTGTGTATAACTTTACAAGCAACATTTTTAAGTTTGTTCTCTTGCGAATACGAAAACATATACACGAACCTTAGACATCATGATAAGATTGCTTGCTACCTTAAAGTATAAAAAATTCTGTGGGGGAGGGTTCGTATAACTAACGTCGTCGATGACTACAAAATATTCGTCGGAAACAATCCTCGGGCTAGAACCCAGATACTGAATTGGTGAAATTAATATCTTAAATACTTTGTAAGGTTAAATTATTTAATCATGTCAACATAATACCAAATTAAAAGTACTTTCACGTACCGTTATCAACCATGTTCTTCAAAATACAATTATACAGTCCATATACGGTATAAGTATTTCAGATATTCACAGACGGTTATACCAGGACTAATGAACTTTCATTTATCTGCAAGAGAAGAACATGAAGATTTAAATTGGAGATACAAAACTGGACTGATAAAAGCAATCAATAGATCAACACCATATATGGACATAATGAAGACCAGGTACGGCAAGAACTATTGGAACCATTTCTACTTCCTGGTAATCCTAAGAGATCAGAAAGTTGACATAGTTGTGTGCAAGGATAAGGTACAATATATCTACTTGGTAAAATTGAGTTTGTATCAGTCTATAGTGATTTGTCTATCAAGAATTTACGAGAATGGATGGACGAAATATTCCAAGTCAAACGCACGATTGTAGGATATGATAGCGAAAACATGATGTGCAACACGACTTTGGAAAAATGTAAACTCGTATTAAAACATGAAAGTTTTCTTGAGGTGATTCACAAGCTTATCATTAGTTTACGCAGAATATTAATGACAAATGTATTCGAAGTTTGATGATGCCTTTACCAGTAACATCTTCATACCTACCCAGTCAAATCAGAAGTCAGAGATGGGGGGTTCGAAGATATATTTAGAAGGCTATCTATACGTAGAGAAGCATATGGTCTAAGCTGTGCAGTAGTTGCATACCCATAACGCCGTAGAAATGCATTCCAAACATCCTGGCATTGTTGCTCAGTGCTACCAAAATACTCTGCATTTTATCAGTATCTTCACCAAACAGGACAATGTTATCTGCGTATTCTAAGTCAATCAGTGAACGTTCTGGTGGGAGATCAATGCTCGAAAATTCAGTCGATGAAAATGTTATTTCCAGCTATAGGTCTATGATGAAGTTGAACGAAAATGGAGATAGTGGACAGCCTTGTCGGACACCACTTGAGGTTGCAAGAATAGATGACAGTTCGCCATAAGCTGACTCGGATGGTAGTGTTTGAGTAAAGGGCTTTGACAAGGTTTACGTACTTCTGAGATAAGCCTTTCAGTGACAGGCACTGCCACAGAACCTCTTAGACTACAGAGTCAAATGCTGTCTTTAAGTCAAGAAAAGCTATCATCGTGGGACGCCAATAAGCACGCCTGTGTCCTAAGATTTGGCGAATGGTGAGTATGTGGTTGTCACAGGATGATTTTGAACCATTTTTATGTATTGGGACGCTCAGTGATTGCGACCAGTTAGGCGGGATTATGTCTAACTCTCAGATTTTAACCAAAATATTAGTCAACCTAATCGCTAAAACGTGACCGCACCGTTCAGTTCAACCTTAAGGGGTCTTCTTAATGGGATTTTCCTGCGTTCAACGAGGCGCAAACGAATGTATGCTAGCATTGGAGCACGACGAGTCTAAACATGTACTCTAGAACAAGAGGCAGTCTTCGATCGAGCCTCTCCAAAGGTGACTGATGGCAATGTAGTCTATTTGAGTCCATCGTTGGTTTAGTTCAGAGGGTCGCCATGTTAGACGATGTCTCTCCTTATGCTTAAAATTAGTGCTTGTTAAAAATAAACGAGTGTATGAGCACAATTGTGTTTTAAAACACGTTATGTGGTACAATGTACACTGTTACGTAACAGTTAAAAATGTACAGTGAGAATTTATAATAGTTAGAAGTATTCAAATCATTGTGGTAACTAAGATCTCCAGAAATAGTGCGATTTGAAGCAGGTAAAACTAGATAACCACAAACGTCAGACTTCTTCAAGGCTGCCCGCCGTTTTGTTTCAACGACCTTGAACGGCCTGACAAGAGGTGGTCTTTCCGTATTTCAATTGTCGTGGGTTTGTTGGGTTGCATGAGTAATCAGCGCACCTTCAATAACAAATGAATAACTATTTCGTACGAATGCCACAAAATTTCAATCCATAGTATTGTTCGTCGGTCTTTTTATCCTTTTCAATCATCCCGGGAAAGCATTGAAAAGGAAGTAATCACGTTTTCAAATACACTCATATGTGCGTAAGGACGTAAAATGTGCGAAAAAAGAAAAATACCTGGACTACATGTATGTACATTAAATGCGATAGCACCAAGATATTTCACAACTATTTTTTTGAAGTTTTCAAGAAACAAAATATACACAGAATCATGAAAATACTAAAGATGAATAATGTTTTTTTAACGCAGCGATACAAACAAATAAGATAAAACAAAATTTATGTGTTGTTCTACGTATATTAGCCGTTTAGGTGTTCTGGAAATATTACCCTTATTCCACAGTGTGCTGCATTGGGCTAGTTTTTGGTACTAGCGAAGTATGGTCATGATTATTGATTATCGCTGAAGGCATTGCAATTGTGCTGTCAATCGTCAGTAGCGATAGTTGGATAGTAGCTGAATTTCGCTACCCTCCGCTCGATGAAGCGCGAGTCACTGTTTCAGTAGTAACGTCGTTGATCAGTTTTGCTCCTGGCCATCGTGTGAAACGGCCAACACATGTTAGGGGGTAAGACTATTGGTTTGAATCTAGTAAGGGTCCTACCAAATCTGGATGGACATGGTCGAAACGAGCATCGAGAGTTTTGAAGGAGCCTAAGATACATTCTTGCGTCTAATCAACTTGGATTTCAGGCAGCGTACCAACTAATTCACATCTTTATTTATATTAGACCATCAAAATCTTTCTGTTATCAGCTTACATTTGTTACAACGCCTGTGTGAGACTTTTTAAACTACGTATTAAAGACACTGTTTCAATAATTTTCCACAAGAATAGACGATCTTAGCCTGTAAATGTGTTGCATAGTAAAGTATTCTTACTTGTCCTCTTCTGTTTAATACGCAGTTTCAGAGTTGTCTATGATTACTCCTGCTGAAAATTAACATACTCTTTTTGGAGTTCGGTGAGTTTAAGAAAATTAATTCCTTAGAAACTGTTCAAAGAAGTTACACGTGACAAAGCGTCTGCAACTACATTGTTTGCCACGGAAATGTGTTGCATATCTGAAATGAACTACGAAATGTAGTCCAGTTTTCGAGACTTTCTAGAGGATTACTTGTCTGAAGACGAGCTTAGGAGAGAAGTTGAGAGGTTTGTGATCGTTGAGAAGAGTAAATTGTTGGTCTTTGACAGAGTGCTGAATGTGCCGTACAGCACAATATATGGCTAAGAGTTCTCTACCGATAGTTCTATACATTGATTCGATGTCCAGCAAACGTCTCGAGAAGAATGCAAATTTTTCAGGTGTGGTTAACTAACTACTGTAGGATTCCGGTTGCCAAGTCGTGTGCATCTGTAAAATTGTGGTGTACTATAATATTAGTAGTGCTCTAATAATAGACCTGATCCTAAAATTGCGGATTTGTAGTGATACAACTGCCTAATCTATAATGTTTTACGTGGAAGTCACATCATTGTCTACACCAACTCATCGCGTAATAAGAATTATCAACATATGATGAAGGACACATTTAGGCTGGATATAGAACAATATATTTAATATGGACAGAATATTATGTTACTACGCTCGATAGTGACCACGCCTGTGAGTCTGAGTCATGTCATCTGGTCAATTCGAATCCTTTCCATTGCCTGTTCCCGCCTTCCCCATCGTTGGGTTTTTCTCTGCGTTAAATGTTGATTATGTATTCTCCCAGTTGTCTCGTGTTCAGCCTTAAGGTTTGTGTGGATAGAGCCTGATGCCACTACACTACTCTTCCACCAGAATCAACGTGATGTTGGTTCGATACCAAATTGAGTGGGATTGTCGCGCGCCGGCGGTTACCAAGAATATTAGGAATCCTAAGGATTTTTATAAGCTGAAAAATAAACCAAAAAGAAAGCGGCAGCAACTGATCGGGAAATACATGTAATAACTTGAAAATATGTACTTTCATGCTTAAGACGCATAAAATGAAAACCCACATAAACATTGTTTATATGTCATGTATCGCTGGATTATTACATTCAAAAACGATTTAGTACAGTGATATTTTAACAAGTCACATTAAAATGCATAGTCATAACATTTGGTTAGTGGCTCAAGTTGTAGGCCGTATAAGTAATTTTGAAATGTTTGGTGTATGTGAAGATTATATAGTTGAAAGAAGTGGAACAGGAAAAATTAAGAATGATTTCGTGTATTGATATTTCAGCTAACCGCCATAAGGTGTGTAGTATTAGCCGTAGGTTAATAACCTCGCGTGTTTAGAAATATTAAATTCAATCATCATTGTAGAAATGTTAATATTAGTATTGCTTTTGGTCTAAATTATTAAGTCAGACAACGTTTATACCGGTAACCTCCCCATACGAGTTGATTTCCAATTACATCTGCATAGTAGGCTAACTAAAAGAACAAAAGTATTACCGTGGAGAATTGCAACTTGTGTTCCAGTTAGTTTGATACACTTTATTTAGTTACGGAGTGATTTTTTCGACCTCATTTTTGCTTGACCGTGATAAAATTTAGTAATTTTACTAATATATATGAATGGTTATCAGAACGTCTTTTAGTAAGTGAAAAGTCATAATTATATGAATCTTGGACAGATAGATGAGAGGAATTAGTTAGACATGAGTGTATTCGTAAGAGACATAATTTAGACCCAATGTTCTGATTTGCCATAGACTATTTATTTATATTAATGCCTACCCGCTGGTGGTGCATACAAGTTAGTTGCAAGTATGCAGTTTAGCATAAGGTGGAATACGATTTCAATGAGATTATGAGATTTTGAAATCAACTAAGCTTATGTGCCACAGTTATATGTGATGTGGTTCTGCAAGATGTCTTCGGCTAAATAAGTCTCTACAAGATGATCAACAGCGAATGATGCTCATGTGATTATCAGGGAGAACATAAGTTGTAACCAAGGGTAGTAGACACCCAACTCATGTCTATGATAATGGCTTGAACCTTAGTCAGTGTTGAGGTAAATTCAGCAGCATTTTCAGTTTGCAGGAGATTCGCTCTATTGCTTGTACTGATGATTTGTATGCATGGTTGTGTCGCTAAACCTCTTATCAGACTGACAAAGTTTTAGGATATTTACTGAATGAGCAACTGACAGAAAAACATACTGAAACCATCTGTAATAGATGAAGATAACGAGAAAACAACACTATCTAGTGATAATGTTAAGTCAATTTGTTGGCCGATTTTGTTATCAGTTCTATCAATTTTATCAGTCATACTACGTGATTGTCAAGTCATATGTATCATGTATAGTATACTTCTGCGAGCGCGATAACAGGCCATTTTACAGGCATGATCTACAAATTACAACAGTTACCGGTTCACAGTATGCATCCCAAGCAATGTTGTTAAATAAATACAATCTATAAAAGTGAACATTATTTCATTCCACCAGATATACTAAGTACGGTCTTCAAAATATTTTCCAAAGTGTCATCGCATCTACGTTACACACCAGATCCAATCTTGGCATAATTGTGTTTGGATTTTGGTCGTGCTAAGTATTTATACAATACAACTTTTAAGTTTATAGTTGTTATAAAGTAGGTTTATAGAACGCTTGGTGCGAACTATGACCCTGAGAAAACGCGTACGTCGAGTTTGTTCCAGATATCATAATTTTCTTATCTGTGTCCTCAGAGCAAGATTCTGAAAAAAAAGAGAAACAGAGGAGCAGCGAGACACTTGGATATGAACGATAAACAATACTTGACATTTTGTAGTGGAATAGACAGAGGTATGACAACTTATTAGATTCATTCATACTAGCTTTTGTAGATAGAGTAAAATATGACCAGAAACTCCAGATGAGAGAATGCAGTAATATTTATCAAGGCGGAGTGAGCTCGAATGAAGGGAAAGAAGTCAAGGTTGTGAAAAGGAAGGCTGTTTATTAGAACAAAAAGTGCATATAGAGAGTAAAGTGTTAAGAAAATTAATAATTATATCTTTTATTGTCCAATTTTTTAAATATTTTTTCATCCAATGTCATGACAATGTTCTATGGCGATACCCTGAAATCATTATGTTTAACTAGTTGTAGTGTTAATTGAGCATTAGCCAGTTGAAAATGGGTATTTTTGTTCTAGGTGCTTCCGAGATAGCAGAAGTTTGGAGCGTGAAGAATCCGAGCTGCCTGATTATATTACTAAGTGTAATTTTAAAAATCTACATAGTATTAGTGTTAGTTTTAGTAGCGGGCTCCGAAGTTTTGATTTTAAATATTTTTTAGCCAACAACTACCTGATAGTTCAGTTATTATACTGGCGCAGTATGATAGTATCTGAATTTGTAACTTTATTATTTAAACTACATTCGTCTTTTTGGGCTACAAATATGATAGACCAATTCATAAGCCCAAATACGTATAGGAATATTGACTATGACGGGTTTATTGAAAATGTTAATGGCGTTACTGACCAGCAAACATGAAGGTGGGGAGATAACTTCAATCCACCCATGTCTGTAGGGCAGAACATTTTGTTTAATTACGGCTCCTTATGGTTTAGTGGGATGTCACGGACTTATGGTGTTGAAGCTGATTTATCACGCAAAATACCTCTTTAAATCGTGTTACGAACGTTGAATTGGTTTCACTTCCTACCCAGTAATCCTATTACAAGCAAACTAGACAATTCGCTAATATACGAAGCCTACTCAAGACCCTATAAAACCTGAAAAAAAACAAATAAAAAACGAAAGGGGCTCTAATAGCTTCGATAATAAAAGGAAGATAGCCAGTTGTATATCACAATACTGTTTCTAGCACTATATTTTATTTTATAATCACACATAATCTTATACTCTCAGCT